AGACAACTTTACACCTACCACACCGCAGGCAGAGCTCTCCTGTCTAGCCTTGAAGATCACACATGCGGGCATAGCTCTTGCCACTGAGTTAGGCTCTCAAGACAGTTGTGCCTTTCATTTGCAGACAGACCCTCACTCAGCCTGGCGGCAGGGGACATGCAGCTGAAGGGTCAGGACTGATAACTTTGTAGGGCGGGCTGCTGGACCCAGGCTAGCAAATCTGTCAGATGAACTGTGTTAGTTCCTGTGACTGCTGTCACCAATTACCACAGATTGAGTGGCTTAAGACAATGCAGATCCATCAGAATTCCAGAAGTTTGACCCAGGTCTCAGGGGACCAAGTTCAAGGTGTTGGCTGGGCTGCATTCCTTTCTGCATGAGAGAATCGTTTCCTTGCCTTTTCCTGCTTATAGGTGGTGTTCAGGTTCCTTGGTTCATGGCCCTGTTGCTCGCTCTTCAAAGTCAGTAATGGCTGAAGGGCCCTTGGTCCGTGACATTACTCTGTCCTCTTGTGCCTTTCTCTTCCACTTTTAAGGACCCTTGTGATTGGGCTCACCCAGGTAGTCTGGAATAATCTCCATCTCAAAGCACTTAACTTAATCACACCTGCAAAGTCTCCCTTGCCGTGTAACACAGTCGAAGCATCTGGGCATTGGGATGGGGACATATTTGGAGAGTCATTATTCTGCCTACAGTAGTAGCTTTATGATTTCCATTTAAAATAAGTAATTAATGTAAGATAGGATTTTAAATGGAAAGATACAATAATTTCACTCATTGTAACAATGCTAGAGTTTTTGAGATATATTTATGCTTAATTTATTAAATTTATAGGTTATTAATTTACCTGGGAATGTTTTACTTATTAGGGTTGATGCTTACTCGAGCAGGTATTTGAAGTACTTATAAAAAAAAAAGCAAATGTGTCAGATTTATAATTGTAGCTTTAACATGTTTAAAGGAATTTTCTTTCTTTCTTTTTTTTAAAGATTTATTTATTTGAGAGAGAGCGAGTGAGCATGAGGAGGGGCAGAGGGAGAGGGAGAGAGAAACTTTAGCAAACTCCTAGCTGGGCTTAGAGCCCCAGGCAGCGCTCCATCTCACAAACCTGAGATCATGACCTGAGCCAAAACCAAGAGTTGGACACTTAATTGACTGCCCACCCAGGGCCTCCAAGGAATTTGAATTAAGTGTATAAAAGGGACTCGTTTTTTAAAGAGACTTTAGTCTGTTCAATTTGAGTTTATCAAACAGTAATAGAGCCCCTTTTATTTCGTATGAAAGTTTACTAGACTTGTAAAGATGTAGTTGAACTTAAACTTTAATGAAAACTAGGTCTTCACATTTGTTACTTTTTCAGCTCCCATTAATTTTTAACCAAGAAGCTATAAATAGTTCTGTCTATGCCCATAAACTCACACTGATTCTTATTCGAGTAAAGGGTAAGCATGTGATCAGTGAGACTTTCAAAAGCATTTTGTGAATGTCAGTGTATGTTATTAATTCATTCAGCCCAGCCCTGGGCTGGGTACTTTGACACAGCCCCACGTGAGACTGCAGTCCAGATGCAGGGAAGGGGTATGGGGAGGTGAGATTTACTCAGTCTGAGGAGGCTTTAGGGAGGAGCTGGCCGTAAGGAGCCATAAGTAGATGTTTATCAGACAGAGGCAGGGGAAGAAAGACTGCCTGGGATATTTAGTGAGTGTTGAGCTTTTGTGATCCTGGTGAAAATTAAAAAAAAAAAAAAAAATCTGAAATTTGCCTTTTGTGTTGTTTTTTTTTTTTATGATTTATTGATTTATTTGAGAGAAAGCAAGTGAGGAAGTGAGCACAAGCAGAGGGAGCAGCAGAGGGAGAGGGAGGGGAGAAGCAGGCTGCCTGCTGAGCAGGGAGCCCAATGTGGGACTCTATCCCAGGACCCTGAGATCATGACTAGAGTCAAAGGCAGACAGACGCTTGACTACTGAGCCACCCAGGAGCCCCTTTATGTAGTTTTCTGATGGAGAGTTAGGGCAGAATCAGGGTGCGTTTCAGGGTAAATGTATTATTAATTCAGCCACCACATCGGTCACCTGAGCGCATCACACCTAACTAGAGATGCAGAGCGATTCCTAACCTAGTTTCTCAGACCCTCGTTTCTTGGGGAATCGTGATTATTAACATTTATGGAACACGTGTGGTGTGCCTGGTTCCGTGCCTTTTCCTCTGTATTCATTCACTTAACCTTCACAACCCTGAGTAATAGGTTTATTGTCACCATTTTGGAATCTCGGAAACTGAGACCTAGAGGAATTAAGGGGACAAAGGTCACACTGTAGGTAAGTGGCAGGACCGTGATCAGAACCTCGCACAAGCCATTCCCTCTTCCCGGAATGCTCATGACCTCACTCTTCGCAGCTGGCTCTTCCTCACATTTTAGGTCCCAGCCTCACTCTCTTTTGTGGGAGAGACCCCCCCTGCTCAGCCCATCCTAAGCAGGTTCCCTTGTTATCCTGCATCTCAGCCCCTTGTTTAGTCTTACCGTAGCACTTATGATTTAAGTGTTTTCCTACTTGCTTTGTGTGTTTGTCTTTGTTTTTCCTACTAGAATCAGAATTCCGTGAAGGCAGGCATTCTGTCCATCTTGTACATTATCGTGTTCCCAGTCCCTTGCACAGGTCCAGGGTATAATAGCTGTTCCGTAAATGTCTATTGATGAATAAATTGATCCTGATTTGACAGCTCATTATTCCCTAATCATTGTAGTACACACACCGTATGTGGAACTATCCCATTGAAGCATAACACTGTGTTATTGATTGAGGTCCGCCCTCAGCAGCAAGCTTATTTCTCTACACGTTCCTAGAAATTTTATAACAATGATAAGTTTCTGTTACAAGGAATCTAAGCCTCACAAGGCAAAAGAGAAACATCCTCAGTATGCTGAAAAGCCAACTTGAATCGGCACACACCAAAAATGCGCCCGTGTGTTGTTGGAAAAACATTTATTGCAATTCAGTGTCAAAAATTTTTTACAAAAATATGCCACCGTCTGGTACAAACAACTATAAAAAAATCAATTCATCATGCAAGGAAAGTGTGCAAATAATTTACACAGAAGGACTTAGCTCACACAATATTAAATGAACATCTTTGCGTGAAATGAGACTAACCTTGTACTTTTAGTTACATGTCCAACCCCCTATAGCACTTTTTAGTAAAAGGAGTAAAGCTTCTAAGCTTAGGACATGGGCTTTCATGTGCATCCCCTTTAGCCAGGGTTACGGGCACTTGGTAGAACAAAGATGGTGCCAAGAGCTCTCAGGCCCTTGGTGGCAATCCGTGGAGCCTTCTGTTTAACAGACTCGTGCCTCGTTAATTAAACAAACATTGCTCTACCCAGAGACTGAAGAAGTCATGTTCAAACTCCAGAAGTAATGTTGTAGCAGATGGAATTTTAAGAAGTTCAGACATTTGGAACAGCCATCCATTTTTGGACAAATGGGGCAGGGCCGGGATTTTGGGAGCTTTCTCAGGAAGCTTTGTTTGCTGAGTTCAGGGACACTTTGAAAAATGTCCAGTAGACAAAGTCACAAGTATCTGTGGTCCCTTGCTCCTTGCTGCCTCTTGGAATAAAATAATCTGTCTTTGCTTGGTGAAGATGAGGTTTAGCAGAGAGTGGGAGGATCCCCCCCCACCCCAGGATAGAAACTCCCCAGATCTGTTGGCAGGTGCTAGAGGGTGGGGAGGAGAAGGGTATGGATTAAATGTACTTCTTAGTCTGAGAGGAGGTACCTGCTTGCTGACCGTCAGAACCTCAGTTTCTAGAAAGCAAGATGGCTGCTCGGCCATGATCTCTCTGCCATAAGGGCCACTTCTGTAATTAAAATGTGGGTACCCAGGGAAAAGTGAGTTTGTCAGGACGTGCCGCTTGCTCTGTGGCCAGCAGGTTGTACTCCCTAGAATGCTGTACTCACAACAGTGTCAGAGGTTTGCAAAAATGTTAAGTGGCTCCAGGGAGAAATGTTAACTTCTCCATGGAGAACCAGTGACTAGAAATATTTGGAAAAGATAATGGCCAGATGCCTCATACTGGACCCTCATGCTTGCCTTCCACGGTGAAGGTGTTGAGAACAATCAGGTCAAGTGTCACGCGTCTCCAGACAATACCAATGAATGCTGGGTAGGGGGCACAGAGTCAAGGCCTCAGAAAGTCCTGGGTTCATACTCAGGTCTACCACTGAGTACCAGATGGGCTCAGACATGCCCCCCGAATGTTCTGGACCTGCTATCTCATGTTGAAAGGCAGAAGGAATGCCACACTCCGCCATCTTCAACTTCCCTTCCTGCACCAAAGTCTGGGATGGGAGTTTCCTTCCTTTGGGAAACTATGGAGGGTTTACTCTCTTTAACAAAGGAGAGAAGAAAGCATCTAAAGAAAATGTGGAGTTTAAAGGAATTATGATCTTGTTTACTGAAGACATCAAGAGCCCAAGATATACCAAAGAGTCTTTGCATTTGTCTAGAGGTTCGGGGTGTTTCTGAGGTCTGTTTAAACACTAATAGGATTTTAGGCCAGGATCCAGTCAGAAGGATGGTTCACAGACTCAGATAGTTGGAAACAGATTAAAACAAAACAAAACAAAACAAAAAACGAAACGCCCAGATGTCCACATAGAAAATGTTGATATAGTTTAGTTTAAAAAAAAAAAAATTCACACATAAAATTACAGTTAAAAAAATTCACACATAAAATCGAGTGCGTAACAAAACATTATTGCCCTATAGCCCGGCAGAAAACTATAAACTCAGGTGTATAGTTTATGATAAACATTGTATTCAACACTACAAACGCTACACTGTTGAACATGTCTTGAAATGACTGACCTTGTAAATCACACCACTTGCTTAGACAAGTAAAATTCTAAGCCCCCTCCCTTCTCCCACACAGAAACCACAGAAAAAAAGGAGCTTCTGTTAAATTGGAAGCTCCCCATGAAAAACACTTTTCGAATCCACAGGGAATCATGGCAATAACGTGGTACCTGCTTGTCACCTTCCTTCTCCATCACCCAGGAAAGCCCACGGCCGAACTGAGTGTTTTGCAGAATCAACCCAGCCCATCCCAAAATCTCCTCCAGGCCACTTCCACAGAAAACTGATCGTCACTAAACAAATGTCATCTCACAGCTGACCCCCTGGGTATGTTTTTACTTGTACTTTTGCCCCTCGCCCTCCCATGCTACGAATCCCGCTGCTCAAAGTAATAACATCAAGTAATCATGCACTCTAGTTGAAGATGCCATGGACTTTTTTCTAGATCTTGCTATGAAGTGAGCGCTCACCTATTGTTTCCCTAAATGTTGTGCCTTACTCTCAAAAGACTCCAGGCTTGTTGCTCGTATACCCTTACTTTGGACCAGATCACACCTAACATCCCTGTGGACTTGTGCTCACGCACAGTGCTCTGGACTTCCTCCTTCCTTCTCCAGAAGTCGAAAGTACTTCCTAGCTGACATCAATGTCAAAATCTACGTTACCGGGGTGGGGGGGGGTAGGGGCAGTGGCTAGGTAGGTACAGCAACAAGAGGGGAGCCTCCTATCTCTTCCAGCAATTTCCATTTCCATCGTCCTGTCCCTCTGGCTTTTAGACCAGCAGTTTTGAGATGGGGATTCTTTGTCTTTGTTTTTTAGGTTGGGTTGTCCCCAGAGGGTTTGCCAATTCTAAAGATGATTAGTACCCAGGGAACGATAATTTTCTTTTTCATTCACTTTACTTATATGTGAGGCTCTGGTTATGCTAACAGCTACCATGGGGCGCCAGCTCAGACGCTCTCACCTGCTATGTTCTCCATCACCTTCCCACGAACCACAGCATCAGAGAGAGGCCATTTCTATTCCTTCCCCCATCCCTCTCCACCTGCCATTTCCTTTCTTAGTCTCGTCTGCCAATGAAGGAGAACCATCAATGTTGGTTTCTTCTCTTTTTTCCTTAAAAATTTTCCTCGGCTCTGTCACATACCATGTCCAAAAATGCCAACAGAGATGGGGAGAGCCCAGAGGCACCGTCAAGGGAAACATCTCAGAAGACCATCTCCCAGCCACTTGTGGTAGCGGTCACAGGCACGCCTTGCTGCCTAGGGTAGGAGACGCAGTCGCCGGCATTGCAGACCGTCCAGAGGAGACTAGTCGGCCAGTTTTGTGCTGATGGTCTCAAGCAGACAGCATTTCTGGGGCTGCAAACCTAAGGGTGCCTGGGAGTTCTCACCTCCCTGATCAGCATGAAGGGGCAGAGGTCATGAGTTGATGGACAGATGTGGAAGGCCATGAATGCCTACACCTAAAAATGCCAGAGTCAAAGTTTCCAGAGAGATCTCACAGCTACAATCAACCCAGCTCTGCCTTGCATCTTTCAGGAAGCTGAGACATCTGAGAGAAGCTGTCTGAATTCTGGAAGTGCCATTTTTTTTTTTTTTTTTTATTCCACCATCTAGGCCCTGTGTTCTCAGTGTGACGTGGACTCAGCAGGGAGGGAAGACCAAAAAAGCCCATTGGGTCTTAGAGGGGTTCCGGAAGGTCAACCTTACGCAACAAGGTCTTATTTTTTAATGTTTAATTCTTCTCAGTGGGGGAGAATTTAAATGCAATTTAATGTTTTCCTCGGATAGAGGGGGCAGAAGTGAAAATAAATACGGAGACACCCCGGTGTGTAGGCGCAGACGTGGCAAAGTGAGAAGGGTTGATGGAGAATTGACTTCTCTTCAGCCTGCTGGTACCCGGGCTGTGCCCTGAGGGATAAGCAGCAAGGGGCTGTGCATCTCCAACTGGTGCCTGGCCTTGTTTCTGTCCTTGCTTACCCACCTGTCCCCTCCCCAGGTCACCCCTAGGTTCACCCCCTAAGGATACACTGTTCTCTACCGTGAACGTGAACAAGTTCCAATTTCTGCTTTACTTACTTGCCAAGGGCATGCAGGGTGGCAACTTTATTTGCAAAAGAGGAAAAAAAGCACAAAGCAAATACAACTGCCAAAATATGTACATTGTTGTAGAAAAGCAAAGTTCTATAAAAAGTAAAAAACAAAAACATCCCCCACCCCATCCCAGGAATATTTGACAATGAACTCATGAAGTCCTGAGATGTCCTGTCTTCCACACGGTCACTTGCTGGCATTTGCCTAGCAAGATCCCCAGGGGTACGGAGTAAGTTTAGGATGAACACACAGTACTTCTCTTCCCTAGGATCGGAACTCTAGGTTTTATCTTGTCATCCTCGCAGGAAGTCCTATAGCTTGGGCTGAGTAAATTTTGGTGTTGGGCATAAAAGTAAAGAAAGCTCCTCCGCTCATCGCCTGCCAGGAGGGACAGCAGCTACTAAAATGTCTAATTGATACGTAAAACCTGTTTTACAAGCCTTTATCAGCCCTCCGGCTCCCAGAAGTCCACAGATGAACGCTTATCTGTGAAGATATTCTGGGAAGCCCAGACAAGCCGAGAAGTTTAACAGGAATAACAAAGTCTTCACAGCTATTGGGTGACTCCTTCTATCTTGTCTACGGTGGGACTTCTTCCTCTGGGGCTGTTTTTAGTGGGCCCTATGTTGCCCCTGAATGAGCTACCACACGAAAGGAAAAAAAAAAAAAGGCTAATGTGCTGTGGAGTTGTTCTAGAAAGGAGTCAATGCCAAGGAGTGCCTATTCCCGTAAAAAGGAGGTCTGCAAGGTGATGAGGATTGCCTCCAGGACCCCTTCCTATCGAAACCACTTTTCCAGGAGGAAAAACCAAGAAAAACAGACACTGCCTGCGGGACAATGCACTTTGTCAGAGGGGGTGCTGTGTACTTTCCGAGGTAGAGTATTGTGTGATATTTGGAAGACAAGGCCCTATGCCCACGCGGGCTTAAGATGGGTGGTGCTTCCTTTGCCTTTTTAAAACAACCCCTCCCCCCCAATTGAAACCGAAGCACAGGGATTTCGCGTATGTCGTCCTCTTCTCTTTCTTTAAAAAGCAAATTTTCACATTGTAAACAGAGTGTTCTATCTTGAATTCGAGTTCTGCCCTTCTTTTCCACATCCCTAGGGAACTACCAAGGAGTCTCAGTGAACACGAGAATTCCATTTTCACCGACGAAACTGAATTCCTGCCCTTACAGTCTTGCCGGCAAATAGTTAAGAAAACAGCTTATGGACAGTATTTCCGCTTTTCCATACCAGTTCTAATGAGAAGTCCGTATTCTAAGACTCCCAGCCAGCAGCTGCATCTCTCTCCCCTTCCAACGTCCTTTCAGTGACTTAGCTCACAAGTTCTGAGCCAGCGTTTCAAATGTACACTATTTACAAAGGAAGTGTCCGAGCTCCGTATTCCCAACCATCCGATCAGCTGGGGAGCCCTTCGAAGTGTTGTCCCGAGCTGGGATTCAGAACTTGAACAAGTTGATAAAGTCCTGGGGTGAGAGGGAAACGGAGCAGCTCTCTGGGTTATTGGCTGTGCACGGGTGGTCAGTGCCCTGGAAAGGAACATCACGGTTGTAGGTTGGAGTTCTCAGAAGCACCATGTTGGCTTGTAGCCCCATGAGGCTGTGCCCAATCTCACAACATTCCTATGTCAAGAATGCCATAAGTTCTGCAAAAACTAAAGAACTGTGTGTGTGTGTGTGTGTGTGTGTGTGTGTGTGTGTGTGTGTACCTCTGCACAGAGAGGGTGGGAGAATTTGCAGGTGGGTGGGATGTACAAGTATACACACACACATACACACACACACAAATAGGGGTGGAGGAAATTAAGGTCTCTCAAAGGTTTACTCCCCAGGGACTGAATTAGTGTCCCCTACACCTTCAGCGAGGGGCTGCCGTAGGGAAGAGTAGGAAAGGAGCTGGAAGGGCTTTCGCATGGCAATGCTGGTGCCTTTGACTCTTAGGGGCTGGGCTAGGGGTCTGTGGCAGCCACCTCAAGACACATACCTTCCAGGAAAGAATGTGACAGTGTCTGCAGAGCTGAAGGGTGTCTCCGTACTGCTCTTTCCGTGGGTAACAGCGCACAAGTTTAAAATACATCTTCTTCCAGTCCAGCTGTCCTTTGTCTGATAAAATTAATCGCTTGCGGATCTAAATTACAAATGAATACAGGTAATTGCAGACGACTGCAGGAGACTTCATCAAGAAGACAGTTGTGGTTTTATGCTTCTGAAAAGTTCTGTTCCCACCCTCTCCTTCCCCCTTTTTCATCTATGCCCTGCACTTGCCAGGGAAAAAATTGCTAAGATAGAAAGAAGGCTGTTCTGAGCTCTACCCAGTGAGACAGTAGCTTTATCAGTCTTTAAAAGACACAGGGGTCTGGTGACATCTTACTGGTGACCTCTACTAAACTGTATTTGGATGGTCCTTTAAAGTTTAGGTGATTTCAGTAAACACCTTCAATCTTTTCTCTGCTGTAGACTTGAGCGGTTATTTCCAGGGAGATGCAGTCACTGCTTGGCACGGTGGCTCTATTTTATATCTAAATATTAGTGGCTTCATGAACAGAACTTGTTGAACTCACACATCTATATAAAGAAGGTGGGGAAAAAAAAATCTGAGGCAGCATGAGGAGGGGAAACAGGCCTAGAGCTGGTGTCAGGAACCCCTAGTTCAAACTCACATTCAAGGCCAGCTTCTTGCCCTTGGGAGCCATTTCCCCAGTCTGTGGTCTGAGTCCCCTCATCTGTTTAAAGTGAGGGTCAGGATACCAACCTCACACTGGGTTGTTAGACTAAAATGAAATACTATCTATAAAAGTTCCTTAGCTGTACAATATGAAGTTAAGTTGTAAGTTACTCTGTAATTTACTTTGTAAGTTACTCTGTTACTTTTAAAAGCAAGTTGTGCAAGTGTGCATGTAGGTTAAGAATGTCCCCCCCCCAACTGGAATCACATATGTGATTTAGAAACCCCTCATTCTGTTGCCCTCTAGTCAGCGGGGAAGCCCTGGAGGGTGGGCACCCGTGCCTCAAGCTCCAGAAGAATGCCAAGGAAGCAGGAGGGTGGGGGACAAAGGAGGGGGCGGTGGGACTGCCCGCGGGGCCCCCCTGACCTGTCGCTCGGAGAAGTGGTACTGGCAGAGTTTCTTCCACAGCAGCCGGTCCTCACTGAGCACGTGCAGGTCGGGGGCCACCTGGCCGAGGCTGACCAGGTCGCGCCCGTCACTCAGCCTCTGCATGATGTTCAGCTGGAGGCACAGGGGCAGGTCGGTGAGGGTGAGGCCTTTGAAGGCGGGCTGTGGGGAGAAGGCGGATGTTAGGCAGTAGGCAGCACTTGGGGGGGGGGGGGAGGAGTGGCAGGCCGCAGATCACCAGGTGACACTCTCCAAGGATCCAGCTGTCCCCTCGGCCTCCACCCTCAAGCTGGCTGACTGATCCCAGATCCAGAGGTGCGATTCTCCACGGACACCCACAGGAATAGCCTGGACCAGCTGAGTCTAAATGGTGCCAGAGGGATTTTCCCCTATTTCACAAAGCATTATCCTTTCAACGACTCTCGAACGGCGCATGCTGGATTCTTGTGCTCTGTTCAGTTCACTCACTGACCAGATTCGCTGCCTTCCTAAAGGGCTCTGTGCCTTGGACAGAGCACCAGCCCCTGACCACGGATCCCTCCAGGGAGCGTTTCTTGCCTAGGCCCAAACTCGCTGCCCCAGGCCCCCAGCTGTCCCCTCGCTGCTCTGCCCGTCTAAACAGTGCTCTTCTTCAGGTCCAGCTTGTACCTATTTCTTCTGAAAGGGAATTTCTTTTCTGCCTTTTGTGGGTACCCCGGGCCTCTGACTACATCTTCCTGGAATTCTTATGTTCTCTTCCAGGGACTTTTTGAACCAGCCCCTTTATGTTATGTAATGCTAACTGCTTCCAAAAGGAAACTTGAATGGAACATTCCTGCTGGAATATAAGGTCCATGGAGGCAGGACTTTCTGTCTTTTTTCACTGCTGTGTCCTTTGTGCCTAGAAGACCACTTAGCATATAACAGGTACCCAAAAAATATCCGAGGGGTGAATGGAACCCTCATAATCAAGTAGGTAAAAAAAAAAAAAAAAGACCCTGTGCTTGTTGTGTATATTTGTGTATCTTTGTGTGTGCATGCATGTGTGTGTGTGTGTGTGTGTGTGCACGCATGTGTCCTTTAGGAATGACTGGTCCAGAACCTTTTGGTGTAAATGCCTCCATCTTTAGAACATCTCTATTCAAACCTAGGGGATCCAGGGACTATTAAAAAAAAAAACTCTTTGTGGGTAATACATTGGCAATTAATCAGAAGCGGCTTCTGCTTAACCCTGAACTTATATTTAACTGTTAATTTTATATTTATGATTTAAATTTTGATGGGCTCGTGTTACCCACCCACACCTGGACCGTTGAAGGTGGGGCCTAATTTCATAGCCCCTGCAGACGAGCCCAGCACAAACAACCTCTTTTGAGGGCCTACCGTGGCCTGGCACTGGGGTTGGAATGGGTTCATTCGGCTGGCGGGAGACTCGGAAACGTAAGCAAAAGCAAACAATTAGAGAACAGTATGTTACGTGCGTCAAGTCAGCACAGAGTGCTCTGGGAACCGTCCAGACAGAGGAGGTCCTCCCTAGTATTTACTGATAGGTCCTGAACAGCAACCCGCATTGCCATCTGGGTAAGCAGTCGGCGCAAGTCCCTTATGACTGGGGTTCTTTGTTCTTCTCATGCTAGACCTGGGTGAGCTCTTGATTTTGGACTATGGCCATTTAGCTCAGTGCTCTGTCACCTCCGGGAGTCACAGGAAAAGATACAGGATGAAGAATCCCTTCCTTAGAGCTCAGGGGAAAATATCCCGTTGATGGGTGTTGAGTCCCATCCTCAAATTTTTAGGGAACTATTCTGTTCAAGGCACATCAGAGCCCACACGCACAGGATTCCAGGGGGAATGTGTGGTTTCACCAGGCCCCACCTGTGTCCCCTGCAAAGCAGGATAGGTGTGTAGAGGGAAGGTGGGAAGAAGCATGGGGCGTTGGGAAGCTGGACTAAGGAGAAGAATGGGAGGTGGCATGGGAGGAACACCTGACGGACAAGCAGCAGATGTGGACCTCAGGTGCCCTTGGGAACTCTGGGTCTCAGTTTCCCCACGTCCAAAATGAATAGGCTTAGAAGACTCTGAAGGTCCCTTCTGGCTCCAGCGATCTCAGATCTGGATCAGCTCCAGCCTCTTAACTCATCAGAAGTGACTATGACCTGACAGTTTAAATCGTTCAAGCTGCTGGCCTAAACTTTCAGTTGTTTGCAAAATTCAGGACTTTTGCCGGACCGTGGAAGGCTCTAGACCTATTTGTCGTTTATCATCTGCTGCTGATCATATGAGCTAATAAAACTGCCATGACATTTTCTTTTTGTTTCCAGTACTTCAAAGCATCTACTTTTTTGGTTAAAACTCCCAGGCCAATTATTACATTGAACTCCTATTAAAGTCCGCTTGGCAGAGTTCACGCTCAAATTTTCAAACCTGAACTTTTCCAAAATCCTTGCCCAGACCCCATGCTGAGCCCTTGCTCCTGATAAATGGTTAACTGCTTGCATGCCTTCTTTTTGAATATAAACATATAAAAGAACAATAAGTCACTCAAGCATTTGGCTATAATCCTTCTATGGCCACCCATGCCCTCTATCTGCTTCAAAACCCTGCCTTACCCCAAACCCTGCCTTACACACAGTGATTCTATGTGACTTCACCCCCCTCCAAGCCAGTTCTCTTTGCCTTTTTCCCCTTCCGTCTTTTATTCTATTAATTATTTTTGCCAATAAAAATTGGCTCCATAGAATTAGATATGAAATTTAGAAGGAAAACAAGATTATATGCTGGGAAGATACTGCTAGAACTTTGGCAGATAGAAAGCAATTACTGTAAATGTCACCTTAACATTTTTGTGTAATAACATACTTCTCTTTAGTCCAAACTGTTAGACTGGCTTTAAAATATAGTCCAGACTGAAGTAATTAAGTCCTGTTTTTCTCTCTCTCTCTTGACCTTTCTTTCCTCTGGAGAGTTGGGCATTTGTGTGACAAGTTCTGTGGGCTCCATGGGTTCCCATCACTGTTCTCAAGATCATGGGGCTCAGAGCTAGGAGGGCTGGGAAGGAGGGCAGGGGAGGAGAGTTCAGTGGGGAGAAGAGCAGCCTCTGTAGGCAGGCTGGGGTTCAGTCCCCCTACTACTACATCTTACCTCTGCTGAGGCACCAGCCACACTGTTCTCTCCTTTTCTTTTTTTTTTTTCCCCTAAGATTTCTTTGTTTTAGAGAGAGAGAGAGGAAGAGAGAGACTCTCAAGTAGACTCTCCTGAGCATGGAGCCTGACGTGGGGCTCGATCCCACAACCCTGAGATCACGACCTGAGCTGGGACTAAGAGCTAGATGCTCAACTGACTGAGCCCCCCCAGGCGCCCGCAGCCACACTATTCTTAACTACTCAGCCTGATTTTTCTCATTTACAAAATGAAGAAAAGCACATCTTACAGTGTTGCTGGGCAGAGCGGATGAGATGACGCACGGAAGTACTTAGCATAGTGCCCAGTGGAAACTGGCTATTATAAAGACCCCTACTTACAGTTATTCACTGGATGAGTTAATTAATACACGTGAAAGACTTAGAAGAGTGTCCGCCATAGAGAGAGCCCTTTGTAATAATAAGAGCGGACACATTTAAAGACTTACTACATGCCAGGCACTGTTCCGAATATTTTCTATATGTTAGCTTATTAAATCTTACACCAGGTCTAGGAGATAGGCATTATTTCCCTTCAATCATTCATTCACTCATCTAACACTTATTGACTGCCTTCTGCCCTGTGCATGGCAGAGAGATGAGCAGGGAGCAAGAAGGCAGTCTTTCCTGGCGGTGCTCATAAGCCAGTGGATGGACAAAGGGAAGTGGAATCACGTTTGAGATAATCTCAGATGGCAACAGCTCCTCTGAGGAGGGTGAGATGAGAGTGTTTTCAGAGGATTGGATGGTCCGGGGAGGCAGGACCAAGCTTGGCATGGGCAGAGAATAGCTTGGCCAGACAGGAGTGCCAGGAGCAGAGGGGAAGCTGAGATGAACTTCAGTGTTTGATCTGTCCTGCATGGGATTGCATTGGATGTAAAGGGTTTACAAAAAGCTGGATCACTGAATACATAGTTGGAAGAAAGCTGCATTGAAAAGAAGTTTGGAAACCACTGACGTTAAGAAAGCTTTGCCATTCGAGGAATAAGGAGTTCTGGCCTGAGTCGCTGGGCTTCTCTGGCTCCCACTTCTGTCTTACCACATGAAGGGTTATAGGAATGACAAGGGCCACCTCCTCCCTGGCGTGTTTGTGGATCAGTTAAGGGGGGTTCTAGGTAAGCGAGCCCACGGGCGTGCAAAATATGTGAGCAGCTGTGGCCAAGGAGACTCCTGGGATGTGGACAGAGGGAACAGAGGCAAACTCTGGGCAAGTGTGATCCTCTAAATAGTGTGCCAATGTTGCTGGAAGGAAGAGGCCCTTGGGATAGATGGGACTTGCTCATTTAGATCCGTGGCTGGGAACTTCTCTCCTGGGCTTAGACCAAAAGAGAAAGTATTAACGTCCAGGCTGCATATAACACCAGAAATCAGGTAGAAGGTCTACGTGAGTTTTCTGTGAGAGATAAGCTGGGAATCTGGTCTCAAATTCACATCGTCAAACTATGCCTACACTTAAGAGAAGAGAATGGGGTAAATTATTAGAATAAATTCGATAAATGTTCAGAACATAAGCTCTTAAAATAATCAAACAATTGAGATAACTTTTCTGGGCTTGTGCTGTGCTCTGTGTGTGTGTGTTTAAGTGTGGGAGTTGTAGCCACAGTGATTCCAAGGAAGTCACATCATTCTGAAGCTTCTCATTATTCCCTTTGTTTCAGAGCTTAAGAAACTCAGAGGTTATTAATAGCCAAATCAAGGTCACTGCATTTTGAAAACTTCATATAAGTATTTAAAAGAGGTCAAAGAGGTTTCTTCATGTTACTTTCCCAAGAGATGGGGCAGACCCAGACGTTATCAGCTTGGGCCCCGGAACCACTTAGAGCATCGCGGTCCGTGATAAGGGAGGCGGGCGCCGCCTGAGCCGTCTAAGTGTGCCTGTCCGTCAGTGAGCGGCAGGAGGGCAGGGCGCTGTCTTTCTTACAGTGTTTGTGGGCCTCAGTCCTCCTGCTCACTATTAAAAGCATAAGAGCTGAGGGCCAGGTTAGTTTCTAAAAGCCAAAAGACACTACTGATAATAGGAGGGCCTCTCGGGATATTTTCCACTTTGAGCGAGAATCACTCTTTTCTTCCCCTACATGTCATGTTCACAGTCTGGAACCAAAGGCTTCCTTGTCATAATTCTTAATCACTGGAACTAGAATTTGCAAAGGTTGGTGGCGGCCTTCCAAGCCATGGCCGTCCCAGCTCTGTCGTATTCAAGGCAGCATCCCTGCAGCTGTGAAGCACGTGTCCTTCGGGAGGAAATGGAAAAACGAGCGATCCACGCCCCCCCCCTCCCCAAATCCAGGCTTCCAATTTTCCTGCCACGCTGCGATCCGCAGACTTTGACCTCCACCCCTTCTCTATTGGGACTTCCCAGCCCACTCTCGGCGCCCGGGAGAGGGCATCCGATCGGGACAGTCCACACTCTTCCTCCACCAGGGAAGATCTACAAAGTCCTGGGAGGCCGCCCAGCCTCTCAGGGGAGGCAGCGGCGGAAGTCCTTACCGCCGGAGGGAGGCGGGCGATGCTGCTTACCCGGGTGATTTGGATACTGTTCAGCTGCTGCTGCCAGTGCAGAATCGTCTCCATCCGGTATACCCACATGTTGATGTTCCCGACCAGCACAGACTTGCCGACTCTCTGCACCAGCGTGCACAAGGACGTGTAGAGGGTCTGCAGCAGCTCCCTGATGAGCCTGATGTTCTGCTGGTCTTCGAGGACTTGAGTGGGGGAGAAAAAAGCATGAGCAGTCATGATACTAGGACACCATACATTTGGTGCGCGGGCCTTTTTTCTCCTCCGTTCTGCTCCTGTCACGTGGGTACTGCCTCTGGGGATGTGGTTTTCTTCCTCGCTGTTATTTATTCGACACTTGGCCAAGCTTCTACACTTGAGGTTACTGGGTAGAGTTTCCATCATCTAGGTCCCTCTTTTTTCTCTTTTCCCTACTTTCTGACAAAGCCTCTTTCTCTCTTCATTGTTTCCCCAGTGCCAACTGGCTCACCTGATCTGAGGGCAGTTTCTTTGGCCCAGCAGTGATGTCCTGCGTAGCTGGTCAGCAGTCAGGAATGTGAGTTCTGATGCTGTCTGCCTGAGTCTTTGTGGGATTAGAGATAAATTACTCTTTCTTATGGGCCTCAGTTTCCCTGCATGTACAGGGACTCAGATGAGCCAAAGATCGAAAGCTGCTTCTAGATCAAATAGTCTGTGAATCTATTCTGCCTTGTGCATAGCTCAATTTTCTAGGAATTTGAAATCCAGAGGCTTGGTAGCCAAGCTTGGGACATGTGCCAGCACTGAGAAGTGTGAAAGGCGTACAGCAGGGCAAATGGGTGCTCCTGATGAAACAGTGGCAGGGGACAGTCTCTCCCCTTTGTCCTGAACACCAGTGACACTCCTCTCTGAACTGGAATTTGGCACCCCTGAAATGCATCTGGAGTTATTCACGTCCATCCACTCACCCTTCCTTAAATCTCAGGACATGTCTGCTCGATTGGAAAATCCATCTGCCCATTCCCATCTCTATAAAAAGGGGAGCGAGGTGGCGGGGGTGGGGGAGTGGGGTGGGGTAAAGCTCACCTTTCAGTACCACTTTTTCCAAAATGTTCATGAAGTTCTTTTGGGCGATGCCGCTCAGGGACGTGAGCTGTGACTTTGCTATCAGTTCCAACAGCTGTGGGTAAAAATAGAAGTTGCCAGCCTTAGAACACAGAGACATTTTTCTCCTCTAATCTTTGCTTTTGAGTCACATGACGTGGAGATACGGACCAACAGGGAGAGATAAACAGCAGGCAGGCCCACAGGAGAATAAAAAGCAGATGCTCACAGTGAAAGACAAATGGGGGTAATTCAAAACCCAGGAATCAGACTGAATATTTAATTCCTTTTTTCTTTTAAATATAAAGAGTTTGGCTTCAGCCAGGGTGAATTCATTCTGCTTGTCCTACTTCAGTAAGTGAAACCGAGGGACTCCAAAGGGAACAAAGCCGACTATGACCGGCAAATGTTTGAGTTCTCCACAATCACTCCTAGCAGGAGTCCTTCTACCCCTCCTTGAACTTCTTCCCCACTGGTACCAACTGTTCTCAAGGTACATGAAAGCTCATGGTCAGCAAGATGCGTACTTTCCAAGGAAGGGGCCAGTCTTATCCAGAAATCTCTTGCTCAGGCCGTGTTCAGTACAAATGTTAATTAGAATCTCCCACTGCACTTACTTAATCTTCCTTCAGAAAGAGGCCGGTCACAGGGAGAGAGAGGAATTCAGGGTTGTATAATGTATATATATATGTATATATATATACACACACACATATTTCTACTGAGAAACTAGGATCCTCTGGGACTATGGGCAAGTTACTAAATTTCTTGGTGCCCCCATTTCTTCATCTGTGCTAATCATACTCAGAGGCCCCAAGACTGCTGAGAGATTTGAATGAGGGACTGCCCCAAAAGCATAGTGCCTGGTATGGATTAGGAAAATCAAGATTGGTTGGTTGGTTGAAGGCGTGTGTCCTAATCCCACTACCCCATTTATTGCCAAACAAAAAGAAAGAAAGGTAGTAACTTCAGTTGTTGCACCCTACTTTCTTTGGTAACAAAATTATTTACAGAAGTGGTCATATTTTTAAAAAAATCGATCACAAATTCTGTTGAAAAATGAAACTTAAGATTGGAAGGACGTCTTAGAGATCAGGTAATCAGGCCATTTAACAGCTGAGCAAAGTGAGGCTCAAGCGACTGTCTCACCAATTTTGTGCAGTGGACGGGCTCAGCTGAGACCGCCTCAATACACTTCATGCTTTCACAGAGTTGTCAAACAGAAGAGGTTGATGTGAAGTGAAAACAATTTTACCAGAGCCCAGCGGGCCCCCAACTAAAACTAGCTAGCCGAAGACTTAGAACCAAGACCGCTCCTTTACCTCAGAGCTTGAATTTCTGCTCCCAGGAAACTTTGCAAGGGAGTTCCATCCACTGGCCAGGCCCCAGCCCAACTCCACTTCAGGTCAGTAAACACCGAGCGTGACATTGTGCTGGGCCACTGGACTCAAGGCTGAGGGAACTAGCAAAGTGATATTCCAAAAATCGGGCTGCAGAGGAGAACTAAAACTTTTGGATCAAAGCCCTAAGCATTTCAAAGAACCTCTGCTTCCATTTGTTTAAAACTTCTGTCCTCCTGAAGCCTCTCAAGAGCCTGTCAAACCACATACAGACTTTTAATTTCTTGAACATAATTTTACTCTAAGTAAAAACAAAACAAAACAAAAAACCAAAAAACAAAAACAAAAAAACCCCAAACAAAACACCCCGAAACCTCTCCCGGCCTGGCTTCTGTATCTCTCACACACACTGGGAGAGGGAGCTGAGGCCAGGCTAAGGCTGGTTGGTTAGGATTCGTACTGGCGATCCAGCGCTGGAAGCCAGGAGCTGACCCAGGACCCACAAAGAGGGGCAAGAAGTCTGTCCATCTGTAGAGGCCACATCCACGGGCAGTGACCACATGGATGACCTCTGCTTGTCTGGTTCAGCTCTGTCACCAACCAGCACATGACAGGCAAGAGAGGAGTGACAAATGGCTCAGAGGGACGGGCCAGAACTTTCGTTTATCTCCCGGACCAACAACAACCAGATTCAGAAGGCCAACCCGATGGTCTAATAATATCCCGCGCCTCACATGACCAGCATGAGGCAAGATGAAAGAAAACAAAAGCCTTGAGTCCCTCTCCAAAGGGCAGTTAGCTGTGAGCTGTGACTCACCATGGGGTGGGAGGAGGGCAGGCAGCTCTCTGCCTGAAATCTGTCCAAAACCCAGCTTCCATGTGACTACCATCTCTTGAAGGCGTCAGTGTTAATCTTGTCTAAAAATGCACCAATCACAAGGACAGAAAACTCTCCAGGCTATGACTATGCATTTGAGGGAAAACAAAAAGCCCTTTCTGATTGAGATGATGTTTGACTAAGCAGAAGGAGGAATGCAGCAGCGAAAATTTCTCAACTGACAGCAGAAGGACACGTCAAACACCCTGCGTTTAGCCCTATCTCAAGAGAAAGTCCCTCCTTCCACCGCCAGGCAGTGGTGGGGTCAGGAGAAAAACCGTGGAGGAGACCCAGCTTCTCTAGCCGGGTGACCTTTACCACTCTCTCCCATTAGCAAGTGTTTTCTGAGTGTCCACTCTGCCCTAGTGCTGGTGACATGGCTATGGCAATAAAGACACGTGATGGCTAGACTCATGGCATTTATGGTCTAGTTGCTGGTGTAAGTCAGTTAACCTCTCAAAACCCTAGTTTCTTCATTTCAAAGACGGAAATAAAAAGACTACCTACTTCACATGGTTGTTAGAAGGATTACAGAGATAAATATGTGAAAACCCACTCTAAATTCCAAATACAAGGCATTATTAAGATATTATTTTGTCCTCTTCCAGACCCTAGTCTTTTAGTGAAGTTTACAGCTGCTATCAAGGTTTAGCAAACTTTCTGTGAGGGGCCACATAGTAAATATTTTGGGCTTTGTGGGCCATATGCTCTTTGTCCCAAGTACTCACCTACTTAGCTCAGCAGTGGTAGAGCAAAAGCAGCCTTAGGCAGTATGTAAATGAGTAGATGTGGCTGTGTTCCAATAAAACTTTATTTACAAAAACAGGTGGAGGGCCAGACTTGGTCCTTGGGCCATAGTTTACCAACTTCTGATATATATCTATATCTATGATATATATAAGTTTAATATATATCATAGATATATCATAAAATTTAAGAAGTATCTATTTGTATGTGTGTGTGTGTGTGTATAAATAGAGTTTAGGAGGGTTTCAGAACTAAACTTCCTGCTTCAGTTCCCCCATCTGTAAAATATGCATAATAATAGCATCCACTTTAGAGCTGCAGTGAAGATCTGTGTTCATAAAACACAACAGTGTCTGGTACAAAGAATATACTCATTATTATCATTAGCTTTTATCATAATGCAGAGACTATTACTAGGTAAAATCACTGCTAAGGAGGGCATAGTCGATCAGTAAAGTACACCTGGCTTAAAGATCTTTAGAATCTCTATATTTCAATTTTATTCATTGTCAACCAAATGCTTAAATGGTTTCAAATTTTAATATTCCTTTCTGTCATTTTTATTATGTATGTGATACATTTAATAGCTAGCTATCTGTTGGTGAGAGTTAATGTTGCTACATTTCACGTCTCACATTGTTGCATTTACCACGAGGTCTTACTTTGCTAACAGTAACGAGGGGTCACTATGCATCAGGGTCACTGCGCATCAGCACTAAGAACTTCACATGTATGATCTGACCTTGCTTAGTCTTCCACGGTGAGCCGAAGGGTTGGGTTCTCCACTTGATAAGAGAGGACACCGTGGCTCAGAGAAGTCAAGTACCTCAAGTCACACTAGCAGTAGTAAGTGGGAGAGCCAGGACTCGTGCCCATTTGTGTCTTAACAGAGGACATGTATTTTGAGGACTTAAGGACTTCAGCTTTTCAGGGTCAATCAAACGGGCACCTAGGGCCAAACTTTAAAACTAGTAGCAATGTCACTAGTTTTATTTATTAATACTACAATACTAGTAGTATTGCGATGTTCTGGGAAACAAGAGTGTGGAAATTCCCTATTAATAGGACATCGTGACAGGTGATCAGCTTTTACCAGGAAGGGAGAAAAAATTCCCAGAAAGTGTTACTAACATGACTGGGACGGGGCAGTTGCTTTTGGTGAGCCACTTAGGTCTACTTTCCACGGAAGCAGAACTCTGCAGGCCCCGAATGGGCAGGTAGTTTTGTGTAGAGCTAGTGGTAAAAATGACAGAATCGATTCCTTTTACTTCTGAGAGCTGTGTGCCTAGGGGAGCAGGACTCTCTCTAGCTGTTTATTTATGAAGAGGACCTAGCCAACTGGATTCTTTGCCTCCAGCCACAAGAGAGCAGAGGAAAATGTCTTGTTGGGAAAAGTGGTTTCTTTTCTGCTGGGCGGATCTGAGCCCAGGTGCCAGTAATTTGCAGCTGTGTTTGTGAGGGGAGGGTCAAGAGGAGGAGGACGAGGGGCAGGAGGGCTCTCAGCCGCTGCCCCCCCAGCCCCGAATTCCACGGTATCACCGCCGCGTGGGCAGCCTGGGTACCCGGCCCGATGTGCAGAGACTAGTTGTGCCGTCACAGAAAAGGTTCTGGGCTACCAGAGGAAGGGATGCTGGTCACCGCAGGCAGAAACCACATCCTGCCCTTCAGCTTTGGCTTATGCTGGTTTTGGAGACATTGAGTAGGAGAAAGACCAAGTTGCAAGCAATATCGCATAGCAAACCTCGGGGCGGATCCCACCACGGTTTGAAGTGGTGTGTGGACCACGACTGGGCACAAGACAGATTTCCCTCCTTTCTCACTTCGCTGCGGAAAGCGGTTTCCTCTCTTCTCTCCCCTTCATTTCATCAGAGCATTCGTACTTACAGAACATGAGCTCCTGTCATTTCTCTGCCTGAAACCCTCAAGTGGCTCCCCTTTTCACATCCAGAAGAATCTAAACTCCTTTCCGTGACTGGCCTGTGCCCCTTCTCCAGTGTCACTCTGCACCACACTTCCCCGACCCATTCTGCTCGAGCCCCGCAGCCTGTCCTGGGTTCCCTGCACCGGCCGGCTCAGGACCCCCCTCCCAGCCTCTGCCCTTGTCATGTCTTC